ATGTAATAGATGCAGGAAAGACATGTGAAAAAATAAAATATTCTCACAATGCAACTGTGGCAATTTGGGGGAACTATTCTTGAACATTAATTTTGAGTCTGCTAAATCTGAAAACTCAGTAACAAGTAGACTGATGAAGTGTGACACAAAATAGATACTAAACCATATTTACTGAAATGAGAAGACATTTCTTAGAGGCTTATTCAAAATATTAATAAAATAGGTATGAGAAAAATAGGAGTGAAGAAAAATTAGTCTTGAAAATCATAACAAGAAATTTACAGGACATACCAGTGCATCAGGATCCATGGTGATTCACAAAATATTAGGCAATTTTTGGCAGTGGGGCTTAATTTTTTAGAGTGTTGGTGTAAATCTATGTCCAGTCCACATTAGGGTTAGGTCTGGAGACATATGATGATCATCATCATTGTTCAGGTGAGATGACTAAATTATTTATTACTTTAATTATACAGTTTTGGTATCTCAGTCTTTTTTTTTTTTTTTTTTTGAGACAGGGTCTCACTTTGTTGCCCTTGTTAGAGTGCTGTAGTGTCATAGCTCACAGCAACCTCAAACTCTTGGGCTCAGGCACTGCTCTTGTCTCAGCCTCCTGAGTAGCTGGGATTACAGATGCCTGCCACAATACCCAGCTATTTTTAGAGACGAGGTCTTGCTCTGGCTTAGACTGGTCTCGAACCTGTGAGCTTAGGCAATCCACTTGCCTCGGCCTCCCAGAGTGCTAGGATTACAGGCATGAGCCACCGTGCCTGGCCTTTAATTATACATTTTTAAAGTTTCCATATCTCTGAAATTATTTTTAAGTCTGTGACTTATAGTCAAGAAGTTACTTAAATATGTTAGTTTTAAAAGAACTCCCAGAGATATCTCGGCTTGCTCTTTAACAACCCATTACAGAAATTTCCTTCCCTGTGATCCATAACCTTCTTTACACAATTCACAGTCTTATGTTATGGATTAATTGAATTTTTCATTACTGTCCATAGTAAAGGGACAGAATAACTGCTTATGCCCTTCACAAACCTACTCAGAGAACATTACATAAGAAATTGTATTGTAGACTTTGGTTCTTTAGGATGAATACAATCATTTCTTTTTCTCAGAGATATGATTTTTGAAGCATAATCATCCTTGTGGTAGTCCTCTAAACTAAGTTTTCCACATTCTTCTTTAGATTAAGTTTAAGAATAAAATGGCTCATGAGTCTAATAAAGTATGGATGGCTCAATGATACATTTTTTCCTAAACTAAGTACAGAATAAGCACTCTTGTAGTAAAATAAATACTGCCTAAATTTTGAATGAAGACTGGGCATGGTGGCTCATGCCTGTAATCCTAGTATTGTGGGAGGCCCAGGTAGGCACATTGCTTGAGCTCAGGAGTTCGAGACCAGCCTGAGCAAGTGTGAGACTTGGTCTCTAAAAATAGCCTAGAGTTGTGGTGGGCACCTGTAGTCCCAGCTACTAGGGAGGCTGAGGCAAGAGGATCCCTTGAGTCCAAGAGTTTGAGGTTGCTGTGAGTAATAACACCACAGAACCCAACTCTAGGGCAACTTAGTGAGACTCTGTCTCAAGAAACAAACAAACAAACAAATATAAATAAATAAATAATAAATTTCAAATGAATTCTTATGGAGCAATGTTGAGCTCTCGCCCATCCCAAATGTTGGTCCTCAAATAGTCTACTGAGAGATGACTCAATAACAGAGATAAATTGAAAATTTTTCTAAATAAAGATGAATGTGATATTTTGGAATGATGAATTCATACTGACATAATTATTAAGAAAAAGCCTGTATCATGGAAATCAGAGGGAAGTCTAAAAATTAATAACCATTTTCTCTGGAAGACTAGATAGACAGTACTTATACAAGGAGACTTTCTGGGTCTATAGCCCTTTCATTTGACTCTCATAGCTCCATTCTTCTTTGCTATAGTATTTAACATACTGCTTTATTTATTTATTTACTTTATGATCCTGACATTGGGACCACTTATCATACTGCTTTAGATTACAGCTTACAAGTTCTTGTCTCCCGCCCCTTTTTTACACTGCCCTTACACTGCCATAACAGTTAAATAGTTAAATGTGAATAAGAACGTGTTAGCTTTCCCCAACCAAGATTTGAACTTCATACACACATATCTGTACATGATTCCTCTTCCCAGATTCTTCTCTCAAGTGCCCCTCAGACATCACTTCCCTATGGCCTTCCCTGCTACCCCACATTCCATCTCAAGGTGGAATTAGTTTCTTCTTCATTTGAGTTCCTATAGTAATGTATGCATATTTGTACTATATCTATTATATCTATTATTTACTCTAATTACTTTTGTATCTCTCTATTCTAGGCTATGCAATATTCTAGAACTACTCCATATCTTATAAGTCTGTTTAAATGTATTAACTGGGGAATAAATGTTTATGACAATTGGATTTTATAGTATTTTATCCCTACCACTAAACTTTAAGCATCTTGAGAGCAGAATATTAAATATGTTTCTCCATAGCATCCTATAAATACCGATTGAATGGATGGATAAGCAAACGATAACCTAACAAAACATCCACACAAGGTGCTAAATCATACTGCACAGCCCCAGATGCCTTCAGGCTTACCGGTCCATGGCAGGTGAGGACGCCATCTTCCATTTTCTCACACTGGGGATCACACTCCACACAGATGGAGCCGTTCTCAAACTCCCGAAATTCACTGTGAAAACATCAGCTGCATAAGAAGGTGTAAGCAAACAAGCTGTCAACTTAACAAATGAAGTAACATCTGCTTAAAGTCCTATTGGCAGAGTAAATTCTAGAGTTTGTTTCTCTACGTGCCAGGAGCATCAGAAACATTAAGTTCTCCATTAGGAGAAAAGATAAACGGCAGCCAGATGGCTCTCCTTGCCCTCCGCTGCGTTCAGTGAGAGACTCATTCTGGAAACCTCTCTCCTGCGAGAGAGATTCCAGCAGTCTCAAAAAAAATAAAAATAACCCCTCCCCCCAAAAAACAAACAAAAAACAAAATGAAGGAGTAACTTCTGATGACACAGCAGAACCAGTTTTACCTTTTCGAGTAAGGTCTCTCCCGATATAAAATTTTGCTCTTGGTGAAGTTTTAATTCCTAAACTCTTAACTAACTATTGTACTTTTCTTGTTGCTAAGTTACGTGAACGTTCCCTATCCTTGTCCTTCAAATCCCTAGACTCTGCAATTTATTTTTAGTGAAACTTCAAAAAACACTTTGATTCCTTTTCTTCTTTTAAAACATCTGCCTTGGAGAATTAGAGAAAATATATTTTTATAGTTTTTATATATTTTTATAGATTTTATTTTCTCAGATTATTGATCTCATATCATATCTTTTTCTAGTCTAAGTTCTTTTGAAGTAATTCTATATGGTATAAAATTTAAAAAAAAAAAACCAGTTTAAACATCCTAAAACTTTCTAATTGAGATCTCCTAGGTTATCCCTTTCCACATCCTTTCATTTTTATGGCTCTTTGTATATTACATGTTATCAATGTATAAATTTTCCTGTCAGTATCTGCTCCAAAATTTTCATTTCAGTAATTAAGCACCAGTTATCTACAACATGTTTAAACTGCCCCTTCTTACTAATATAGAGGAGGATGAAGTAGTGGATAAAGACAATTTAGAATGTCACTTATGAGTCATTAAAGTTGACTAAATATTTATAGCTGCTTTAGTATTTTGTGCCCTTGTATCCTCAGCTGCCAGTCTAAGCCAGTTGCATTATAGATGTGACCATTATGGATTAATTAGGTGATAAATTCAAATATATTTTTCCCTGTGGTAAAGTGCTCACTTTTTTCTCCTTTGAATACTACAGAGCTTTAATAAACAACAGAAGGCCAAAGGGTGCTGTGTTTGTTGGTTAGATTAATAATATATTTATTCCAAGCCAAAATAATTAAGTTTGGTTTTTCAAAATAAATAGCATAAGTAGAGGGTTGATTATGTATTTAAAACACATATATTTAGTTACATGTATTTTGTGTTTTTTAAAGTGAGATATTAATTATGGATTGAAATTTTTGTGAATTTTCTTTAGCTTAAAAATCCCAATTACATAAACACATGCTTTATAGATATGAACAGTATAATGTACTTAGCAGAGAAAGCTTCAATCTATAAAGGTCAAAATACCCTGGTATGGGATGGTAATTAAATTGTAAAGATAATCAAAAGCATTGTTTGTATAATGAAAGTATATTATAGTTATAGCAAAGCCTGGGATTATCAACTAATTACTAACTTTAGACAATAGTTCCTGGGTGATTAATGGGTTATGGTACTAAAGGAAGGTCATAAATTTTATGCTACTATAACACAGGTCATGCTTTCTTACTCTTCTCGAAAACCCACTTCCCCACACACAGAGTTGAGACATAAAATGTCATGAAAACCCCCAGAGACAGCCCACTGCACTTGTTTCCAGTGAATTCCATTTGGACGGCTCTTGCTCTGCTCCTTTCTGCTCTCAGAGAAGCTCCTCCTAGCAGACCTCTATTACCTCTTCTGCCCCTATTGTCACTGTCGTCACCATTGCTCTTTTTCTATTCTGTCACTTCCTAGTGATGCTACTGTGACTTTGCCAGTTTCCTTTTTAGCTGAATCTGATGTAACTAACTACAGTCTTGTTTTTGCTGTGATACATTTCTCACCGGTGGCTGATACATTTCTCACCGGTGGCTGCGTTACCACGGCTAATAATACGTTTTAGAGTAAATGCTCTGGAATCAAGTCTTTCCCATTTCCTCTCTCTCTCTCTCTCTTTTTTCCTTTTTTCTTTCTTTTCTTTTCTTTTTTTATATATTTATTTTTATTTTATTTTATTTTCATTTTTTGAGACAGTCTCCCACTGTTGTCCCAGGCTAGAGGGCTAGAGTGGCAGGGCCTCAGCCTCGCTCACAGCAACCTTATATGACTGAGTTCAAGGGATCCTCCTGATTCAACTTCCCTAGTAGCTGGTATTACAGGTACCTGCTAAAATGCCTGGCTAATTTTCCTATTTATTTAGTAAAGACAGGGTTTCACTTTTGCTCAGGCTGGTCTCCAATTCCTGAGCTCAAATGATCCTCCCACTTTGGCCTCCCAGAGTGCCAGGATTATAGGTGCGAGCCACCATGCCAGGCCGTCTTCCTCAAATTTAAATCCCAACACTATCTAGCCCAAGTTATGGTGGGAACCTGTAGTCCCAGCTACCTGGGAGGCTGAGGTAAGAGGATAGCTTGAGCCTAAGAATTTGAGGTTGCCATGAGCAATGATGTTACAGCATTCTACTGAGGGTGACAAAGTGAGACTCTGTCTCAAAAAAGAAAAGAAGGGCAGTGCCTGTGGCTCAAAGGAGTAGGGAGCTGGCCCCATATGCTGGAGGTGGTGGGTTCAAAACCAACCCTGGCCAAAAAAAATCGAAAAGAAAAGAAAAAAGAAATCCAAACACTAACACTGACATTTCTCAGCTTTACACACTTTTACTGCTCTAAACTTCAGTTTTCCATATATCTTCTGTAAAAGTAAAAACTAGTGTTTGATTGTGATGCTGTGATTATTATTTTAAATATAAAGTTGCCTATAAGGAACTTAGACTGGCACTCTTTCTGATGTTTCCATGTTGGACTTAGAGTTCCAGAAGAGTTTAAATCACTTGACAGTTAAGAGAAGTTTTAAACTTTCATCACAGTTACCTATCTTGTTCATTTTGATTGCTTGAGTATAATAGTTAAGAGTTGCTGAAAAACAGAGATTTTTACCTGGATTTGAATCCTAATCATCCAGGAATCAACTGACTTCTTTCTTTCCCTTCAAAAAGTCCTCTTTTTAGGACTTTTTTGTTTCCTAAGAGCCAAAATCTGTGTGTGTGTTTTCCACAGATTTTGGTAAATGTCATATTTATATTTGACTATTTTCAGCAGCTTTTAAGATGACTATTCTATTTAACCATTGAATCAACTCAGATTAACAGACAAGAAAGGAACTCTTGTCTATTAATATTATATTTGGGAGGGGAACTCTTAGACCTTATTATACATTTTCTCATGTGATCATCACAACTATCCTGTAAAGTTAACACCATTACTTTTTCCATTTTCAAATAAGAAAATTGAGTTTAGATTGTTGTGCAAAGTTGAACATTTCAACTAGATAGCGATGAGGTTGAGATTTCATTCTTCCTCAAAGCCTTCCTTAATCACTAGGCAATATTCAAAGAAACTAGCCCCTGCCACAAGATGGAAGGAATGCAAGAATTGAATTAGATTTTAGAAGATGCTTTCACCAGTTATCATTCAAACCACCCCTACAGTTATGATCTCTTAGGTCCCACTCCTGTTACAAAATACATTAAAAACTTCAAATCTATTTAAAAGAGTTGATTTAAAGATAAATATGGAAAACACTAAATATGAAAAGCAATTGGGTAATTCATGTTTAATTAAGAAGGCTGGATTTTTTCCTCTGGTTAGCTTTCATTGATATTTAGAAGAATGTTGTGTACATCCACATCTTTACAAATTTCTCATTTCTGACATGTTTAAGACTGAAATGTTAAAAAAAAATGGCATTCTGGGAAGGTAAGAGGATGAAAATCAGATACCCTGAGTTCTAGTATTGGTTTGATTCTTCTCCAGTGTTGTGTGATTTTAGCCCATGTTTAATTGCACTCATTCAGGTGATGCAGCTGTTAGGTAAAAGGACTTCTATAATCCATTCCCTCCTGACACCTTCATATATAAAACAAGTGCAGAAAGGCAAATTTTGCAAGTTTTCACTCATATGTGGGAGCTAAATAGAAAACAATCTGTCTCACGGAGAATAGAATGAAAGTTACTAGAGGCTGGGGAAAGTAGTCGGGAGGATAAAGTGGGGCTGGATGACGGGTATAAAAGATATAGTTAATTAGTATAATTACATATCCAGATTACCAAACTTTTTTTTGAAACAGTCTCCCTCTGTCACACTGGGTAGAGTACCATGGTGTCATAGCTCACAGCATCTCAAACTCTTGGGCTCAAGTGATCCTCATGCCCAAGTAGCTGGGTCTATAGGCACCTGCCATGACTCCCAACTAGTTTCTCTATTTTTAGTCAAGACAGGGCTCGTTCTTGGTCAGGCTGGTGTTGAACTCCTGATCTCAGGCAATCCACCCACCTCAGTCTCCCAGGGTGCCTGGATTACAGGTATGAGCCACTGCGCCTGGCCAGTAAACTTTTAATGTAACAAGTCACTTAATGAAATTAAAGCCTCTCACATTTCATTTGTAATGGTGTCAATTGCCGCACACACAAGCATGTTTTGATCTGAGACATTTTATGTACAGAAATATTCTTTCATGATACTGTGAATGGGCGTGAATGCAATTCAGTGAGACAGGCAGCTCATAATTTGCTATTCATTATCAAATTTACAAGTCAATTGTACCTTACAAAATTATAAGTTGTAATTTTCCTGAGAATGATTAAATCCTTGTTTAAAATCACTTTTATACTTGTGCTTCTAATTTTAATCTTTTCCCCTAAATTTCATTGAGGGAATTGAATTTTGTCATATTTCGAAGAAGAGATATATCAATATCATTATGATATTGGTTTTTATCCTTCTCATATAAAATGCAAAATTACAATGTTATTGGGGATAATGAATAGTTGTTAAAAATGTGACAGTTCATGAGGCACAGGAAGAAATGGAATAAAGAACTTCAAAACTATGCTTTACACACTATTGAAAATACTTTAGTGAGCAATATTAATAAAAACACGTCGCTTAGGAACAGCACTAAAAAAGTGCATTATCCCACTGATGGAGAACAAGAATGATGCATGAAGTGGTATCTCATGATAAAGTGATTTTTATGCACATATAAAATGTCATGCAACAAGGTATATACTAGGTTTTACAATTGGCAATGCCATTTTTGTACTATAACAGGATTTAAGATACTGGATTTAAATTCTTGCTTAGGTTATCTAGAAAGTGGCGGAACACTTTCAATAAAATTTCTTCAACTTGAAACCACGATGGTGGTTTTTCCATAAGGCTAAGCATTTGTCAAAGACATAGAAATGTGGGCCATTCTCAATACACAAAGAGATGTACAACCTGAGCAGGAAAAACATCAAATGCTACGCAGATGAAAATTAATAAAAAAGTATGGGAGAAAAATAAAACAAATTATTGGGACTTAAGGAAGGGAAGATTACTTATAACAAACTCCCTTCTAAGGAAAATTGGAATACGTTTTCCAATTTTGCTTAAGTATAAGTTGTTATTACAAATTCTCTATCTCAGCATATGTATTAAAAATGCAAATAAATGCTTGGTGCCTGTAGCACAGTAGTTAGGGCGCCAGCCACATACACCAAGGCTGGCAGGTTTGAAACTGTTGCAGAGCCAGCTGAGGCAATAATGATAACTGCAACAAAAAATAGTTGGGCATTGTAGGGGGCACCTGTAGTCCCAGCTACTAAAGAGGCTGAGGCAAAAGAATCACTTAAGCCCAAGTGTTTAAGGTTGCTGTGAGTTGTGATCCCACAGCACTCTACTGAGGGCGACATCGTGAGACTCTGTCTCAAAAAAGAAAAAAAAAATGTAAATACAGTATACATATATAGAAAGACTTGTCTTATGATTTTAAATAGAATTATTTCTTTTTAAGACAATTCTTGTATGTGTTGTTCCCTTTATACAACAAGAGCTCTCTTTAAAAATCTTGGCCTGCACACACATTATGAATTATTCTTATAATTTAAAAATCTAAGCTAAGCAGTCCTTTGCAGCTCGTGAGGGAAAGTCAACACTGGAAGAAGCCTTACCCGTCATAGAGGTTACAAGACTCTATGCAGACCCTTCCCCGGCTGAAGCGGCGGCAGGAGAGACACTGGTCTGGCCCAGAACCCCAACAGCCATCATTGGAACACAGATGGTTGCACACCATTCCTTCAGCAGCTGCAAAACACACCAAAGCAAAGGGAAAAAACAGCAGATCGGGTCAAAACGTACTGTTGTCCTAGGTAAAGCTCTTTCTGGAGACATCTGTCTTTCAAGGAAACGTTGGTTTTCTGCTCAATCACCACGCCTCACCTACCCCCAACTTTTCCCTATTACAGAGTTCTAATCCCTGTGTTTGTACAGTAATCTTGCATTTTTTCATAGGATTAGATGAAAGAAAATTTTCTGTAGAAAAACTATAGAAAGGAGAAGTGCTAGAAATTAACTCTACAAGATAAAAAAATAAACTGCTCCTATCCAAGCCAACACATTGCTTCTCCAACACACCAAATACTTTGCCTTCAATTCCATTCTGAGAATGTCGTGCAGAAATAGAAAAATAACACTCTCATGAAATTAAACAGCATTGAAGGAGGAAGATAAAAGGGAAATATATGGAAGGTAGGAAGGGAGAGTAGAATAGAAATGAAAGACAAATTTGCTATTGTTTCACTAAGCCCACTCTAATATTAGTCAAATTGGCATTTGTAAAGAAAAAAGCTTGAAAGAATATTCAATGAATTATGAGGAAGTATAAAGATAAATAGTAACAACATATTTTAATCTTATCTCTATTTTGGTTGTTGATGGGAAAACTGCCAAGGCATTTTTAAATTGCCACTTAAGGTTCACCTACTCTGTTCCCCTTTATACTGAATATCTTTTATTGGGTACATTATTATTTATCCTACATAATATAATTTTAGTGAAAGGATACTCGATGTTAAAAAAGAAGAGTCATAAAGATTTAAAGTATTATTCTGGGTATTTGAAAAGTTATTAGAGGCATTTGAGACACAACTGTATATCATTTTCATGAAATATTAACAATTATCAAGAAGATAAAAGCATCAAAATCTTTATCTTTCCATTAGTTACCAATTTTACATTCGAGATGTATGATTTTATGGCAAGAACATTTGTGAGTTGAATACATTAGTGTAACATAAGCAGGGAGTCCTATCTGTGAAATCTGGGAGAGTGAACTTCTCTAACTTATGCTTGAGAGTGAATTGCCTGCATCTGTGATACTGACTGGTTTTAAAACAGGGAAACAAATCTCTCAGTTCATTTTCTTTGTTATATATCCTGGGGCTATAAAAAGGCCCCTGTGTTAAACCATGCAATCTTTTTTCTCCTCAGAGCCAACTTAGACCTGTCGACAAATCTTTTCACTTTAAAACTAATTGAATAATCTCGTCCAGCATATTTTAAGAGAGAAGTGTGTGTGTGTGTGTGTGTGTGTAGTTGTAGCAGTTTAGTGTGTGTGTGTATAGTTGTAGCAGTTTAATTGAGATATATATGTCATATAATGTACTACCCATATATAAAGTGTCCTGTTTGGTAAATTTTGACATATGTATGCAGTTATGAAACACACCAACAATCTGGATTATGCATGTATCCATTACCTCCAAAAGATTCCTTGTGACCTTATGCAACCCCTCCTTCCCGTTTCATCCTCCTCAGAAGACCATTGGTCTTCTTTCTATTACTCACTGAACATTAATTTGCATTTCCTACAATTTTACATAATGGAATTATATAGCATGCACTCTCTTTTCATAGAATTTCTTTCCTCACATAATTGAGATTTGTCCATGTTGCTGTATTAAGAGTTCACTTTTATTACTGAGTATATTCTATTGTATGGATATACCCATTTTTTAACCCATTTATGTCCAGACATTTAGACTTGTTTCCTATCTGGGCTATTAAAAATTAATCCAGTATGAACATCTGTGCAAAAGTCTTTGGACATATACTTTCATATCCTTGGTTAAGTACTCAAATCAATATTCAGTGAAATGGCTAAATAACATGGTAGGTATAGGTCAAGAAGAAACCATCAAGTTGTTTTTCAAAGTAGTTGTACCATTCTACAGTTCCACCATCAGTGAACACAGTTTAGGATATGAAGTTTCCCTACTTCTTTGTCAACACTTGATATGGACATGCTGTTTAATTTTAACCTTCCTGGCAGGTGCAGTGGCTCATGCCTAAAATCTTAGCACTGTGGGAGGCTGAAGCTGGTGGATCCTTTAAGCTCAGAAGTTTCAGACCAGCCTGAACAAGAGCGAGGCCCCATCTCTACGCTGTGGTAGGCACCTGTAGACCCAGCTACTCAGGAGGCTGAGGCAAGAGGATCAGAATTGCTTGAGCCCAAGAGTTTGAGGTTGCTGTGAACTATGACGCCATAGCCAGGCAACACTCTACACAGGGCAACAGAGTGAGACACTGTCTGAAAAAAAAGTAACCTTTCTAACTCATGTGTAGTAGTTTTTCATTATATATATGGTATAGTGTCACCAAATCTCATGCCTATTTTATATTATATTGATTATTTTCATATTAAGATTCAGAGTTCCTTAAATATTCTGCAAATATTTTCTCTTAATCTTATTCTTGTTTTTCCATTAACACTGAATTTTGAAAGAAATAGATGTTATTTTAATAAAGTACACTTTATCAATTTTCCCTTTTTTGAATCATGTTGATTGAAAGTTTTGTTCTCTGCCATCTGAAAGCTCGAGACCCCTGGAGGCCAGTAGTGTAGTTCCACTCTACGAATGAGACTTGAGATCCAGACTGATGATAACATTCTAGTCCAGGTACAAAGGCCTGAGAACATAAGCACTGCTGGTGCATGTCTACCTCTGAGAGCAGAAAAGGATCAACATTATAGCTCAAGCAGTCAGGGAGGGAGAGTGAATTCTCTCGCCATCCCCTCTTTGTTCTCTTTAGGCCCTACATGCAGTGGATGCTACCCACCCACACCAGGGAGGGCAATCTGTTTCTCTTAGTTGACCAACTCAAATGCTAATCTCCACCAGAAACATCTTCACACACACACTCAGAATTAGTGTTTAACCAAGCATCTGTGCACCCTGTGATGTAGTTAATATGACACATACAATATACTATCATGGGTAGTACAAGGTACAATCAGGTTGTATTCATGTTTTACATGTGAATCCAATATTTCTAGTATTATTTGTTGAAAAGATTATCCTTTCTCCACCAAACCACCTTTGATATTTGTAAAAATATCAGTTGCCCATGAATTTGTGGGTCTATTTCTGGCTCTCTACTCTCTTCCATTGATGTGTTCATCTCCCATCATTTATAATTTTTGTTGATTTCACTTTTAATTTCTTGTGTTTTAATATTTGAAGTCCATGTCTTGAAGGCAGCATATATGTTAAGCTTTGCATGTTAAAATCTAATCTGACAATCTCTACCTTTTAATTAGGGTCTTAAACCATTTATATTTAATGTGATCATAGATATAACTGAATTATAATCATTCATCTTGAATTTTTTTTCCTCTTTGTTCTACCTCTTCTCATTCTTTTATTTTTCTGTCATGTTTTGGGTTAATTTTTTAAATTATTTTATTTTTCCTTTTTTGTATGTGTAGCTTATGAGCTACATAACTTTAAGGTTTATACTATACAAATTTTTAACTAAAATTTTACTCTGAAAAAATTTTATAACCTTGTATAATTATAATTAGTGATAGACCCCATGTAACCTTCACCCGCTATTGCCTAATAATAAGATATCACAAAAACATAATATAGTAACACAATCAGATTATTGACATGTAGTCAAGACACAGAATAAACAACAATTCTTAATGTTGTTCTAGTATCTTCAGATGGACTTGTCTCCCACCTTCACATCTACCCTACTCACTCAAATGCTCTTATTGCAACCACTAACTTGGTCTTCATATCTAAAATTTGGTCATTTTTATGAGTAGAATAACACATTATACAATTTTCCATAGTTTCTTCCAAAATAAATCCCCAGAGAGCTTTGTATATTAAAAGTTTGTTTATTTTTATTGCTAGAAGTAATTTATAGTATGGAAATACTATGCTTTGTTTAGCCATTCATCTGTGGAAGGTCACTAGGATCGTTTCCGTTTCGGCATTATTACAAATAGGTCTACTAAAAACATTTTTGTATGTGGATTTGTGTAAATTTTCTGCAATAAATTATTAAGTGTATAATTGCTAGGTTAGATGCAATAAATTATTAAGTGTATAATTGCTAGGTTACATAAAGTAGCACTTTTTGTAGAAGGTTACAAACCATTTCCTAGAGTGATTATACTGTTTTACATTTCCAGCAGCAGAATGTAAAAATTATTCTATTTCTGTGCATCTTCTCCATCATTTGATTTTGTCACTCTTTGTATTCTAATCATTCTGATGATGTAGTGTCATGTCGTTGTGGTTTTAATTTAAATTTCTTTAAGATAACTAACAATGTTGAACATCTTTCAATGTGTTTATTTTCCCTTTGTATATCTTCTTCAGAGAAATGTGAGAAATCTGTTTATATTTTTGCACATTTTAATCAGTTTTTTTTTCTTTTTTGCTATTTGGAGTTGAGAAGTCTCTATATATCCATCAATCCAATTTATTTAAAAATATTTCATCCTAATCTGCAGATTATATGTTCTCATCCTATTCTTTCCTTGTATTTTGAGACAGGGCCTCCTTCTCTGGCCTGGGCTGGAGTGCCACAGCATCATCGCAGCTCACAGAAAGCTCAAAGGCCTTGGCTCTTATATCCTCCCCTCAGGCTCCCAGAGTGCAAGGATTACAGGTGTGAGCCACCTATCTGGCACTTTCATCCTTTTAATCCAAAGTTTTATACAGAAAATATTTTTAATCTTGATGGAGCAGAAATGATCAACATTTCCTTTTATAGATCGTGCTTTGGTGGCAACTCTAAGTTCCCTTTGCCTTGCCTTAGATATGATATAATATCTCCTATTTTTTTTCCTGACAGTTTTATAGCTTTACATTTATGTCCATGCCATGTTTTTTGGTTAATGTTTGTGAAAGTTTTTAGATTTAGGTGAAGGTTCATATTTTTGCCCTATGGATGCCCACTTGCACCAGCACTATTTGTTTTTAAAGGCTATTTTCCACCATTAGATA